GCTTCGTGTATCAGGTTGAGTGTTTGGTGCAATGAGAAACTGTCGAAGGCGTTACACATTTAGGAGATGCCTGTGAGCACCTCGTGGAGAATGAACAGGAGTGGGGAAGAGTGAACATGTGGAGGGAGTCCTGTTGGAGGCTCAGCAATCAGTGCTCTTCTCTAGCCAAAAGCCGTTCTCCCTTTTCTTCTTAAGAAGAATCCCGATTTTGTTTGAGTCAGGATGTAATCTTGTGATTTCCAGAAGGGTGGGATGGGAGAGAATGTGTGACCCAGTTCTGACCACATACAAAGGGAAAGCTGCTGGGGGTGCTCCTGGGAAAAAATGTTCTCCTGATAGGACTGAGGTGCCCGGGGACCTGCCAAGCCTTTTGCCTGCCAGAACTGTAGGGACGAGATGCTGAAGATGGTTGGTTCCCCTGCATTTTTGGCAGGAAGGCTGAGGAAACCACAGAGCTGCCAGCTCAGAGCTTTGACATCATGTAGCTCTTGGACCACAGTGACCAAGTGCCCATCGCTTGACTTCCAATTACATAAGCAAAGTGAACATCATTGGCTTAGGCCACCAACACTAGGGGTTCCTGTTTCTTACAGTCCAAAGCATCACCTGGGTATTCTCATGGACCACCTACCATTTAAGCCAGGTTCCAAGATCTCCACAGTCCTTTAAAAAGTCCTGTTTTGTAGTCAGGTATGGGACCATCTACTTGCGACATCTTTCTCTGAAATTCTGTTTTGCTATTTGTGGCTGGTAGCTACCCGAATTTGGCCTGGTGACCAATTGGGTCACACAGTGATCATCTCACCTCTAGTTTTCCCTGACCACTCATGGCAAGTGTTTCTTTATAATCTCCTTACTCCTTTGGAAAAGACACTTGAATTTCTGTTTAAAGAACTCAATTTCTAAGGGTAGATCACCTGTAAGCTTTCACCCTCAAGTGAGAAAAAAATCAGTATTTTCTTCTAAAACTTCTAGGTTTCAAGCCTTATAAAGATTCTCTAACTTGAAATCAAGATCCCAAATGACTGAAAACTTGAAAGTCAAAAAAATGTAAACCTGAGTTTACATTTGTTTTTTTCTGGAAAAAGCAATAATCTCATGCAACTATAGGCTGCTTGCTGACTAGGGCAGGTACATGTGTGGTTTACAAGAGGTTGAGACCAGGATTCTGTGTAATTAGACCCTTCTTCAAGGTTGTACAGAGATATGTTATATAATCAATCACTCATTAAACTGCCAGCAAAATGTACATGGTGGGTATCAGGGAAGCTGAAAATAATGGAGATATTAGCTAATAGCTGAAGACAAAGCAATGAGAGGAGAAAAAAAGCCTACAAAACATTCACACAATTACTGTAAACATCCTACCAATTTTTCATTTACTGTATGAGGAACAGACCAACCCATGCCCCGCCCCACCAAAAAAAGGCACATTTTAAGGCTTTTCAGAGGCTCTGCTAACAGTAGCTGAGTCACTTGAGTAACTTACCTAAACTGGAAACATAGATTTACTAAATCTCTTAGATCATGGTTGGTTTGGTATTGCCTTTCTTTCCTCTTTGTAATTAGGTTATTTTGTTCTTTTCTCATAATATTCACCTTCTTCCAAAAATTAGAGTGGATGAATGCAGAGCTCAAGGGTAAAAGTTGTTCATCACCAAGCACTTTGCTTGGTGATTAATAGGCCAGTCACTTTGACATCTGCTTAAGGTGGTTATAACTGAAAGTTCTACACAAAAATGTCAAGTGAAACTATTGAGAACTGAAGAACCTGAGTTTACCCCAGGAATGCAAAGATAATTTAACACTAGACTACATTAGAAAATTTGTTATTGTAATTCGCCTCACTAACAACTTAAAGGAGAAAAATCATAATTATTACATAAAACCATAGATGTCCAAAATCTACAGTATAGGCCTTATAGATATATAGATCTTATAGATGCATAAGATCTACAGGAGATGTAGAAAAATCCAATCTACAGTCTTAAAAAAAAAAACAACAAGCAAACAAAAATACTTCTTAGCAAAATACTTGCATAATTCAATAAAAGGTAGGCAGCAAATGCCCACCACAAACATCCTTAATGGAGAAATGTTGAAAGTGCTCCCTTTAAATAAGGAACAAGGCCAGGAGATTCACCACACTTCTATTCAACACTGTACAATGGAAAGGGGCCTGCCCGAGGCCACAAAATTAACCATTAGCGAAGTGTGAAGGACCCAGGCTTTCCATCTCCTAGTCCAGCACTTTATATACTTCATTACAGTTTTGTGCTATAAGACTTCCTGTTTCCTTTGGGCATGAGTTCCTTCTGCCTATCATTTCAATTCACAGTTGCTGCTTGCTGGATTAGTTGATGTGCTGCAGTGGGGCTACAAAACACTGTTCGTCTGCCTAGGAGGTCTGGGTTTTACTTTTTCTATGGTAATAGAAAAGGGCAGGAAGATTAGTACAAGTCATAACTTCACTGCAGCTACAGATCAACATCCCTATACACTAAGACAACACAAAAGCACAGACCTAGGTTCTTGGTACATGTAAAAGAAACTCTATGTGACACCATGCCTCACATCTTTTATCTCACTCTTACCTCGAAACACTAGCTATAACCTTTTCCATCCTACTGTCACATATTTGATAATTCTAATCAGCGAGAAATACTAAAGATATAGAATACATGAATAATATAATTAACAACTTGATTTAAAACACATTGTACCTTGAACTCTACAAAGAATGCAAATGCTTTCCTTCTTCTCCAAATCAGACTTAGTATACTCCAGAAAATTCTAGATTGTATTGTTTTCCTTAGCAAAAGCCATAATAAAGGGCAGATTCACACCTTTAAATGCTTTCATTATCAACAAAGGACAAACTTAAAGACTTTTACTCAAGAAACTAAGAAACCAAGAAAATGTACAAAAAGCAGGATGGAAGAATTGATAAAGATAAATTAGAAGCAAATTAATCAGAAATAGATCAACAGTAGAATTAATAAGCTAATCCAACTGGGTTTTATATTCATAAAATGTGGAGTGACATACTTCAATCTTCTTAATAGGAAGATTAAATATTGTAAGTATGTAGATACCAGTTTGTACGCATGCCCAAATATGCATAAACTGGGAAAATGTCTGAAAAGACATACATAGAAAAATGTTAGCAGTGTTTTTCTCCAAGGAAGGAGATTAAAGGTAGTATTTATTTTATTAAAGGTAGCATTTATTTATTATGCTTTTCTATATTCTCTAAATCTTTTGTAATGAATATACAATTTTATGATCAGAAAAAATAAGCTATTATTTTAAGATGACAAATTATTTCTCATTGACACATATATTTAATGTAATACCAATCAAAATACCAAAGAAACATGAGGAACTGAGGGAGAACTTCAAGAAGGTCTCCTGCGGGATTAAACATTTTGCAGCAGAGTGATGGAGGGGAATTTATTCCACAGACATTATAATTTAATGTAAAGCTCCGATTACCAACCCACATTTCCAAAAGGTGTCTGGCTAGTGCCTTCAATGGAACTGCCTCCAATTTTCAATTAAATACTGTGAATTTAGGTCACAGACAATGATAAAACCACCAACACTACCCACCACTCAGATCATTGTCAGACAGCCCAATGCCAGAATCAAGTAGAAACTAATTATAGTATCTTAAGGCAGGTGAAAAAATCTCCCTGGAAGATCATCGCATAATTTGTTTCTTAAAACAGTCACAACCCCTGAAATAAGGTGGGAAGATGTTTTCAACCTCTCTCACCAAGGAACCCCTAAATTACAGACCCAGAGCTTAGAGGAAATGAGAAATAGGAAGCCACTTTGTCTATACCTTTCCAGTACTGCTCTGAGAGTGGGCAAAATACTATACAATTAATTATCGGCACTCTTCATCTTGTAACAAAATTCCAGACTAATTAAAAGACTGTTTTTAAAAATGAAAGAAGTGATCATTCAATTTCATCTTGGGTTGGGGACGATCTTTTCAAGTGAAAAAGAGGGGGGAAGGGGGACAAAAGGAAGACCAGATTTGCATGATCCAACAACTTGATGCCAACTGTTGGCGAGGGTTCAGGAAAATGAGCACTCCCATGATCTGCCAGTGGGAACAAACTGCAATATTTCTGAAGGACAATCTGGCTAAACATATTGAAAGTCTTTAAAATGGTCATACTCTGACATAATAAGTCAGTGTCTAAGAATTTTTCCTAAGAAAATAATGAGATATAAAAAAAATGTATTTACAATATTGAAAGACTTGAAAAGAACATAAATGTTCAACAACGGGCAACGAGTATAGTACATATGAAATATTTATATAATAGAATACTACCTAGTCTTCAAAATCTTGTTTCAAAGAATAATAATGAGAATATGCTCAGAAAATATTAAAATTTAAAAAGTTAACAATATGTTCAGAATGATTCTAAAAAAATTTTTTTTTACTTGTGGGAAACACACACATACACACATGTATATCTGGAAGAAAACACCCAAACAGTGGTCATGTTATTATTTGGAGAAATTTGGGGTAATTTTAATTTTCTATTAGCAGTCCAAAGCATGCTGATAGACCTACATAATTCTCACCCTCCCTTTAAGACTCAGCTTATTGCCACTTCTTTCAAAATGTCTTCCTACACTACCCTCCTTCATTCTATATTCTAGGTATTCCTCTTTAGCACAAGACTCTGGGATGTCCTCTATATTCTTTACCCCTGCATCATACTCATCGATTTGATTCATTATATCCCCACTACAGTTTGAACTGTCTGTGGTCAGAAATTGGGGTGTTTCATTTTTGTATCCCCAATCTGTCTGGGATCTAACAGATCTTCAAGCTAGAATGCTGGATTAGTAAAAGAAACTGACTAATCAAAAGATTCTCTGTGCTCTGTGAATTCAGGGAGGGAATTCTCTCTGAAGGTCAGGGAGGGAAATGTTAACAAGGGTGAGCAAATACTGTTAAAGAGGTATCTCCTTACCTTGGCTAGCAGGCTTGAAACATGTTTAATTTCACCATGTGCCTTCAGTAATTCTTGTTTGAGTTCAGTGCATGACAGTTCCAGCTGATCTTTCTCAGCTCGAGCTACTTTCAACATTTCTTGAATTTCACAGCCCTCTGCTGTCTGCCCCATTTGACTGGTCTCCACAGCGTTTTGCTTCTCATTGTCCAAATGAGCCTTCAAAGACCCATTTTCAATCTTCAGCCCTTCCAAGGTAACTTTACACTCTTCCAGAGTTTTGGCCATCACACTATTGTTATGCCGCTCCCGTTCCAGAAGCCCATTCAGTTTTTCATTTTCTTCTTTCAGGCGTTTAATCATTTCTAAAGCTCCTTGGTTTTCTTCCTCAACCTTCCGTAAGCTGCAGGTCAGCTGCTGCTGAATGTTGAGCAGCTTCTCTCTTTCGAAGCGGCCCTGTTCAAGAATTTCTGCGCACTTCTGCTCCAGCTCTAGGAGTTTTCCTTCTTGAGCACTGGGCTCTTCATTCTTTACTCGCTCTTGTAAGAGATTTATCAACTTCTCATTTTCTTGACTTAGCTGCTCTGCCCTCTCTCGATGCTGATGAAAGGAAGTTTCCAAAATCGTCTTCTCATCCACCAGTTTCTCATTTTCAGCTGTCAATTCCTGCACCATTTGTTGCTGGTCTGATAATTCTTGTAAAGTAGCCTGCAGTTCTTCTGCTGTGCTATGGTGATTTTCTTCCATCTTTTGTATCTTCTCTGTAAGAGAAGCCAAGGACAATTCACTCACATTGTTAGGGGAACTCCCAGTGGTAGAACATTTTGAACTCTTAAAGGGATTGCTCATGGAAGACAGGGGCCTAGAGGGGGTGTCTGCTGTAATGTGCTCAAAATCGGAGGCATCTGGTGACAAAGAAGCTTTGGTTACGTCGCTACTTGAAGAATCTGATGTCCGTAATGCATTTTCATGTATGTTTTTTTTGTACTCATCGATTTCACCAGACAACTGATTTCCAGTTGGGCTTCCAAAGCTTGACCCCTGGGTTATGGATGTTGGGCAGCTGCTGTCACCAGTGTGACTTGTTCCCCCTTCTGAATTTGGTGAATGCTCAAAATAAGTCAGTTTCTCCTTCAAGGCCCGGTTTTCTTCCTCCAGATCAGCAAGCTCTTTCTGAAAATTCTTGTTCTTCTCCTCAAGAGCTCTTATCAATGGTTCTGAATTATCTGGTGAGACTGATGTTCCATCTACCTTTGGGTCCAAAGCATCGGTTCCTTCAGTGTTCAGAGTCCTTTTCTCCTTGCATTTCTTTAGTTCACTTCGAAGTCTGTTAATTTCACTATCTTTTGCTTTGGCTTCTGCCAAAAGTTCCCGAACTTGAGACTCAAGCACGGCCTTTTCTCCACCTTCATTCTCTGGCTTAGGTCTTGTGGAAGTGGTCCTCAGGTGCTTGGTAGGGGTGGGTGTACTGGAAGAAGTTGGACTGGACACCGATTTCCTGGGGTTAGAGGGACCACGTGGCACAGTTCTCTCTCTTGAGACAGTTATTGAAAATTCTCGAGGAGCTGGAATGCCTGTTCGTTTGGTCGTTGTCACGGCCCCTAAAGATGGAAGTAGAAACCAATGAAACAAAGCAAGTGAAACCCAAATGAATCAGCTCTTATGGCACAGGGAACAACGTGGCTGTCTCCATTCAATCATTTCCTCCTCCCAGTTCTGACTGGAGTTTCTGTACCTGCCCCTATAGCCCTATACTTTGGGAGAAACTGACTCCAAGCCTGAGCTACTCAGTATAGTTGCTAGTTCAAGGCATGGAAACACCCCTCAGCTAAGGTCAATGAAACATAAGGAAAGGTTTTCTGGCTAAGCTTCTCAAACATTACTGGACATGAGTAAGAGATTGTGTAACTCTGGGAATGGCTGGCAACCATCACATCACAAGATGAAGGTGAGAAACAGAACAGAAAGAAGAAAACCAAATTCTCAGTAGCACTGTGGATTTGATTGCTGGCCTTCTAATTACAAAAGCCAATAAATACCCTTCACAGAAGTCACCCTGAATTGGGTTTTGTCACCTGCAACTTAATACATCTGAACTTATAACCTTGGCAGCTAAACAAACTGCCCTTTGACAAAATATAAGTTCATTGTGAATTTCTCAGTAAACACTTAAAAATTCATCGTTAACATATTTGGACTGAGCACAAAATTGATTAAGAAATCAGAAGACATACATAATACTAAGGAGAGACTGATCTGATCCAATGACCTACTGATTTAACGTAAATGGAAATGGTGTGGTCATTCGTATCCATAAACAAGAACATACAGGATAAGGGCATATTATGCATATCTATGATACAGCTTTAAATGTTAAAAGGGTTTATATGATATGGAAATGATATGGAATTTAGAATACTTATAATGGGAAATGTAAAGAATTATTTTTATTTCCATCTATACCACTATACTATAATTACTTTTAATTTTTCATCTATGCTATATTTTTTATTTTCATTTACACTATTCCTATGGACAACATTAAAAAATTCTAGGGGTGAAAAGCCAGACACTGATTTTCTATATGCTCTAGGAATGAAACTCACCTCAGAGATTAAAGTATAAATGAAAAACTTGGATCTGTTTTACAAATTCAAAGACCATTTAATTAATCAAGGCTGATTTTCTATAACTTATACAAATACGTGCCTTGGGTTGGAGGTCACCAATCTCTGGGCCTCTACAGTGTAGAAAGGGTTGGGGGAAGGGGATGCAGCCACAGACTGGCAGCAGCCCCAGTATGCTAAGGGACAAACAGAACCCAACATGGCACAGTAGCTCTAAACCCACCACCGAGACTGCTACTCAGACATGAGCAAATGCCTATCTAAATATCCTGAAACTTGAGGTGATGATAGCATCTAGAGCTGTCTCTGACAGTTGAATACTTTTAAAGCTTTGACATAATAAAGGCTAAACTGTCATATATATTAATATACAGAAAAAAAACTATGGTTTTTATATTAATTCTTTCAAATTAAGTTACAGGAAAGCTAAAGTACTATGATACATATTTAATGTTTTCAGATGTCCAGATGCCTTGCTTGCATCATACTAGATATGCAGTGAAGATTTAATTATTCTTGTAGAATGAAGATTAAAATCACTGAGCAATGAAATGTTTTAGAAACACCAGTTCTCTAGAGTGAAGTAATCCTGGCCAGGACCATAATGAAACCTGGAAAATAACTAGAGTTTCACCATAACTATAGTCAGAATAGGCAAAACTGAGAATCTAGGACATTTGCCATTCCTAATAATGCTACTAAAATTAAGGCTCCTCCTCAATCATTGGTTGGTTTTGAAGATGGGAAGAACTCAAATGAGGCAGTAGATCAGCCCAGTCATCATTTCTAGCTACAGTTTAACTCCTTTTTGCTGCCAACTCTTAGTTTGCTCCCCACTTAGGGGTTACTTAAGCCTTATCTAAACTACTAGGAATTTTTTTTTTACATCAAAGTACATTTATGAAATATATCCAGTTGTGGATTATGAAATACATAATCCAGTTGTATTTTTTTACATTTGTTCTTTTTTCTGTTCTTGCCAATTCGTCATCACTTGAAGAGAGTCCTTGGTTTGTTTTTTATTTTAAAAGGTTCTTCCCATATCTGTACACATCATTTCAAAAACTGCAATTAGCAGAGGTAAAGTTTACAGAGTTGTTAAAATTCATCATCAGATCAAACTAGGTTTGGTGCTTGGCTGCTCACTCCCCTATTTGTGCCGAAGTCTGCTGCCCAGACACACCTCATGATGGGAACTGGTGGGCAAGAGTCAGTGGGGTTCTACTCAGTC